TCTTCTTCTCCCTCCAGCTATGGGTAAATAGCAGGCCAGACTTGGTTCTATAGCCTTGGATGGCAACTGGTCTAGGCAAAAGACAATTCTGAATTCAAAAACCTACAGAGGGACATTTGGGGACCTGTAGTTCACCAGGTCTTTGTAATTTGGCCCTTCAAAAAGTGTTGATGGCTCTGCACAAAACTTTCACCACTATAATCAAATCACATGTGCTGGTGTCTGGCTGTTGGGCTCCTAGGAACTGAGCTATTTGATCCTCATATGCTGAATATGATGGGAGAGTTGAATATGTATATATACTATTCACGAACAATGCTAACTTGGAAAAAAATAATATTTCATTATTTAATAAAAATACACATACATGCAACTCATTTTTCACTTTCAATCTGATGAAGCCTAAATGGTAAACTGCATAATCAGATATATTTTCAGGACAATATACTTTCATAAACATTTTCCAATTGTCAATAATTTATAACACTATCAGGATTATATAGCCCATCTATTTGTAACACACATATATAACATTATTAGAAAAAGGATTTCATTTTTGATAAGATTTCTATCAAGAAGTTCTTCCAAAATTAATTTCTCATGTGTTAAACCAAGAACTTTTCACCATTCTCACACACACTTGGAAATGACTGATATAGAATGATAATCTCATAAGCCATTGCTTGTGTCGTGCATACATAGTCTTCATTAATGGATTCTCTATTATAGTGGCCTTATGTCATACTAAATCTTTTGAAAATGTATATATTCAGAACTTGTTTAGTGAATCAGAGGTTCAGATAGTTCTGCTGATGTCAGAAGTCAATGTTTGATTAAAAGCCATGTTGATTTTTAGGCCTTCTTTGGAAGATTGTAGGAAAATCTTTACATTCTCATTCTCCACCCCATTTAGTCTAATGAAAAAGTAATCTCCACTTAGTATCTCTTTGTTACACACACACACACACACACACACACATAATTGTGTATTCAAACAGCAATCCCTCTTTTATGGAAGTTTTATCAAAAACAACTGACAAGTGACAAGGTGCTGTGTTTTTTTTTTTATATAATTTTTCATGTGTCTTCATAATTTATGTTCTGAAAAGAAAAAATTATGTAAAAATTGTCCAAATGTTTTATATATTAAAATGCTTTCGGCTATACCTTTAGCCATTATCAAGGATGAATTTTATTTTACTTTTAACTGGATTGTTTTATGCATATATCTAGAGTTATAGGAATGTTTTATTTTAAAAAATAATAGATGTATTATTAATAAAAAAGAAAAGCTAACACTCAGTAATATCAACTATGAACAGTGCAACTATTGGAAAATGCATAAAAATTTATGGTATTGTGGCAATGACATTAAGAGAATGCCCTTGTAACTTCAGTGTTTAATATTGGTAAAGTGTCATGGGGACCATGAGATGTTTGAGAATTACCTTTTTAAAAACTAAGGCATACCTGTAGACTCCGGTCTGAACACTCATAGTTTTTCTATTAGATATCTTTCCGAAAATATGTGGCTAAGAGTGGAGACTGGAGAAAAAGACACTTTTTCATTGACTTCCTGAGTGGATATTTCTAAGCTTAGTTTAGTCAGGTAACAGCAAGAACATGAAGATACATGATTTAATCCTCAGGTAGATTCCTACTAATTACTCTTTGTCCAAAATTTGAGTAAGTATTTGTAGTATGTGAAGCACACCAAGAAATGCCAGATGGCCTAAATCAAATATAGAAGAAAGAATTTAATACCAATAAGGAACCTAAGTGAAGTTGATTTTTGATGACCCTAGTATGTACTGAAGTCACCATAGATTATGCCAAGACAAACTTTACACTCAGTGTCACATGAGAGCATCTGAGAAGCCAGGTGCATCAGCAAGTTGACTTATAAGGTCATTTCATAGCCACCAGGTGAAATTTGTGCCTCACAGGGTGTCAGTTGCTATTCTCAACACATGAACAGGTGGTTGAGTCAGCTGTGCTTAGAATGTGCACACATGTGATAATTGGGTGAAAAGAATATATACCGTATTTGCTGCTTATAAGACACATTTTTTCATATAAAATAACTTCCCCCAAACCACCCTACATCCTATAAATCGAAGGTCGGTGATGGGAGCTAACTTTTCTTTTAATCTTTACATTGTAAATAATTACGATAAAATTGGTACTTCTCGGTCGGTGATAAATTTGTCTTGATTAGTCAAGTTTTCATGCTGAAATATGTCATACGGTTGGTAAAATTGAGGATAGTGGAGTGGGCTATGAAGTACACGGAAAATACTTTTTTTCCGATTTTTTTCCTTCAAAATTTTGGGGGTGTCTAATGCATCAGAGTGCATTATAAGCAGTGAAATACGGTACCAGCACCCAACCCTAGAAGGAAAAGACATCCTCGTGAGAAGAATCAACGTTCAGAGAAAACTCCCCGAGCCACACACCCATTCACTGATATTAACTGACGGATTCCGGAGCTGAATAAACAATAATTTTAGGTATGTGAGGTATAATCTAATAGTCTTATTAGTCTTTACAATAACATTAAATTTTTAGATGATCCATGTTTGAAGAAAGGCCACAAAACCACATACCATAACACCAATACTAATGAAGTCAAAAGGTTAATAAACAATAAATTTATGTATGAGAGATTTGATCTAATATTCTCATTAGTTCGATAACATTACTTGAGTAATTTTTCAGACTCATTCGCATTAAAGCATTTGCAACCTGTTTGCATAAATCAGTAATTTAAAAAAAATGGAATTAATTAAAGTGGAGTAACTATGAAACTGTGAATTCATAGAGGGTAAATCATAAAGTAAAGGCAATTTTAAAATTATGTGGTAAAAATAACATGGAAGCGATGTCGCTACACCACGCATGCGTATAGCCGAGCGCAGCAATCCATCGTTCAGTCGAGTGGCAGGGAGCAGCAAGGTCAGACGTATGAATGCTCCATTCAGCGATTGCACCATCAAGGAGCAACGCTTCGTAGTGCATTTTCTGTGAGCAGATGGAGCCAAACCTGCTAAAATTCATATCCATGCAGTATGGAGCACGCACTATGAATTAATAAGAGGTGTATGAGTGGGAAGAATGCTTTAAAGCAGTAAGAGCAAGTGTAACGGACAAAAGCCGATCTGGTCGCTCATCAATGTCACGTACGGAAGAACACACCTAGAGGGTGAATGCCTTGATCAGGGAAGATCGATGAATCACGTTAGCACAACTGGCAGTAATCGTGGGCATTGGCTATGAATCTGCACAAGTTATAGTGCATGATTACTTGAGCTACCTTAAAGTTTGGGTGCCCAACCAAGCAATTGGTGCAGGTGTGGCTTCATGAACAGCAACTGAAAAGCTTCTTTTTTGAAAGGGTTGAAGAAGATCGTTGAACGATACCAGAAGTGTATCGCCATGCAGGGGATTATGTCGAAAAAGTAACATTATTGTTTTTCATCAATGAAAATCAAGGTATTTTATGAAATTGACTTTACGTTTTGATTTAGCCTCGTATAAAGTTTCTCCACTTCATGAAGATACAGTGGCTTGAACGGTAGGCATTTTTTTTCTGTGAGAAATAAACGAATATAAGAGTCGCGTGATGAGACCTACAAAGACATGCATAGTATTCGTTGGATGCGGCGTTATCTTATAGTTATCCCCCTTTGTAATGATAACCTCTATCATAATTTGGAAGTATCAAAGCATTAGTAGATGTGCAGGTGGTGTAATATTTAACGGCTTGAAACAAGAAATCATCCAGCCAAGTTTGAATCTCAGTCGAGTTTGTTGCATTAACTTGGGAAAGGCATGAATCTATCTCTTCCTCTCGAGGCTTGAGGTTAATTAGCAGGCATAACTGATTCTCTACTTCTAGTCTAGGAAAAGACAACTCTGAATTAAAAACCGTATGGCGGGGCACATAATTGAACTATAACTAAGGTCTGGTCAGCATAGTTGCAGCATAAACCACAAGTTGACCCTGTGGATATTGTAAGATACACAAATAGACCTTGAGCAGGTGAGCATAATCAGAAACGAACACCTATACTGAAGATGGGGAAAATCACACTGATTTGTAGTGGGACTTCATGTCAAAAAGCTCTGATGATGTAAAGCAGCAGTTGAAAAATATAGGAAATAAATACAAGCTTCATTAAGGTAATTTTTAAGTTCACAAGCGCGGCAAATATGTATATAATCTATTTCAGTAATAGTATTTTTTCTAAAATATTATGCTATGTGTTGGGTATATAATGACTTTAGAATACTATGAGATATGTTTTTTTATTAGTCTTCACTAAATGTAAACACGTATAAATTATCTTTTTTTTGTCAACTAGAAAACTTAATTTCTGGTATTAGTATTGGAGTCAAAGTTTAACAGCAATTTGGTTTTAGAAGACTGAAAACATTTCAACTCTTTTTCTTTAAATGTGAGTATTGATGAGTCAAATTCTTAGATTTTTGCAGCTTTACTTGAAGAAAAGGCTAATGCTTTTGAAAGTTTAAAATAAGAATAAGCAATACAATATGGGGTGTTTCGTTAGTACATTTCAGAGTTAGTAGGTAGGGGTTAGGGTTTTCCTTTTCGTGGTGAGGACTAACGAAGAAAATCTAAAATGTTTTGTTTTCTTTTTTTTCATTGAGAAAAATAAAGTGAGTCTTTTTTCTTTTCTTTTTTCTGTTCTATTTTAAAATTACGAACGTTGGCTTTTTTATTTTAAAATTAAGGACGTTAGCTTTTAGTGAGAGCTAAGTAAGTTATAAAACCTTGGATTTGTATAATTTTATAATTCACGTATTTCCATATATTTGCCTCGCTCATACAAACATAAAAATTGCCTTTCAAATACAGACAAACGAAAGTAAATTCACATTAATAAGAATAATATTCTCTTTTTATTCCCGATTAATAGAGTTCATCACATTAGGAAAATAATTTGTCAGATCCGAAACGCTTGAAGCTAATGGCCGTTTTAGTAGTAACCTCCATAACCGCCATGACCATAGCCACCATGACCGAAACCTCCATGACCGAAACCTCCATGTCCAAAACCTCCATGGCCATAGCCGCCATGTCCAAAACCTCCATGACCATATCCTCCATGTCCAAAGCCTCCATGGCCATATCCTCCATGTCCAAAGCCTCCGTGACCGAAGCCTCCGTATCCATAGCCACCGTAACCTCCATGGCCGAAACCTCCATGGCCGCCGTATCCATAACCAAGACTCCTGCGCTCACGCAATTGGCTTTCTTCAGCCATGGCAGCAGCAATGAGAAGAGCGACAAAAAGAAGGAATTTCATGTTTGGAGATTTTCCTAAAAAAAAAAAAAAAAATGAAAACAGAATTTTTTAAGAAAAAATGTAATTAAAGTTTTGGGGAGCAAAATAATAAGAGTTTCTCGACTTTGCTTTTCTTACATTTTTTCGTGATTATTTTTACATCCTTATTCGAGAATTTTTGCTGGGTTATTATTTACGGACCTTTTTAAGAGAAGGTCATGCCTTGGTTAAAAAAATTTTTTTCTTGTATATGGCATGGTGTTCTTTTGATGAGCTGTGATACAGCGAAATAGTGTGTGGATGACAATATATATATATATTGATAATATTAGTGGTCAATATATATATATATATATATATATATATATATATATATATATATATATAAATTCCCAAGAGGATAGAATCCAGGTAAAACTCAATGTCCAGGACAGAGTAAGAATATAATATAAAAGGCTCAAACACTAATATTCCATGGTTATAATTTATTACATTGCAATTGTAATCACGATCCAATTCATCAGACCTACAAATTATATATATATATATATATATATATATATATATATATATATATGAAGCGTAGGATTAGGATGAGGCAACTTGGGAGTTATACATCGATACATGGAATCACCCTCAATCGGAGACCGTCTGAATGGACTGGGTTACCCAACCTGATCGTTAGGAAGAATGGTTGAAATGTTTTCAGCTTCCAAGACTTTTTATTTAGTTGTTTATTTATAGCCTGTTTCATGTTCAGCAATTTTGAAATTGTATTCAGAAGTGTTTTAGAAAAACAAGCACCCATTTTGAAAAACTGCTAACCATGAAACAGGTTGTAAATGAGTAGCTAAATGAAAAATGTTATTTTATATATGCATACACATACATGTATAGTGGCTGTCGACTCGTTGAACGAGTATGACAATCGCTGACGACTTTGATCAATGTTTTTTTCTTGTGAGAACGATAATGGCTCTTAAAGCCAGCAAGTAATTTGTAATGATTTCTATTACTAATATACATAAATACATACATACAAAAAAAGCTTTGTCCTTTTAGCATTTAAAGTATTAGCAGGATGGGCTTACTCTTAGCTAGTTAAATATATTCATTTCTAACGAAAAACATTGGGAAAATATTTTTAAATAATTTATTGTATAAAATAATTTTCCCCTTATTCACCATTAGGCCAGGGATTTACTAATGTATCTACGCATTTTGCTGTCTCTTGTTTTGGGGGCCCTATGCCTGTGTCTATTTTGCTTAGTGGCTAATGCAGGTAGAAATTGTATTCCTTTACTCTAAGTCTTAAGCAACAACTGCAAATGCAGTCTTCTTGCCTGCATTTATAGGACCAAACAACATGCTGCGTCAGCAACATTTCACGTCGTAGATCGAAAGAAAGAGAGAAAAAAAGAAGGAAAAATAGATTATCATTTTTGCTGTTTTGCATATTTTTACAAACACACGATAATTATAAATAATTATAATTCTGTCACCTTTTTAAATATGAGCACATGTATATCTTACTGACACAAAAGTGTTTTTTCTATTTTTTGTTTGTAGCATACATTTTATTAAGTGACCCCATATATATATATATATATATATATATATATAGGGGGAGAGAGAAAGAGAAAGATAGTGAAAGAGGACATCTCATCATGGTGCAATGGTCAACAAGCTGGTCATGTAGATCATTGTGTTATGCATTTGATTCTCACTAGATACCATTTACTTGTGGACTTAAGGCAAAAATAAGTTACGTTTAATAAAAAAATCTCCTGCAGATTTAAATTAATTGATCAAGAAACGTTCTCGGTAACCAAAAAAAAATACACCAAAAAAGAATTATTTTCTAAGGTGTTCAAGTCGAATAATTCTTTGTGGGTTTATATGACTCTAGAAACCTCAAACGTTTTCATGTTTTTAAATAAATTCAAGTACTGAAAAAGGTTAATTCGGATTTTATAAGAATAGTCCTTTTAAAATTCGAAAACTCAATCGCCAATTCGTCGAATAAAATAGAGAAATATATTTTTCCACTAACCAATAGCTAAATGAAATAGAAACACTTTAAGTTTGATGTTTTACATTTATTAATTCAAATATTTTAAACGACTGATTTTACTTTTGATTGAAGTAAATACTTGCAGTGGAATAATTTTAAATTCGGAAAATTTTAGGATAATCTTTAATTGAGATTTTAAACAATTAACAAATTTTGCAGTTTTTGCATTATTCTTAATTTTTTAGGAGATTCTGTTTACCAGCATTTTCAAAACTAAGCTTTTTAATAACTGAAATATTTTTTATATTATGTGATATGTAAATGGTCCCCTATTTTGTGTCAGTTCTCAAATTGATTTTATGCAGTTTCAAACTTGGAACATGACTAAACATTTTCAAATATCAATTGTTAAAAATGAGTATTTTCTGCTAAGAATCATAATAAAACTTATGGTCTTTGTGTATCTATCGTGCTTATATGAAAGCAGAAGTTTTCAAACTAATGTCAAAACAGATTTTTTCATCTTAATTCTGTATCAATAGATCTCAGAAAATGGATGATAAAATGCGCTAACCACAAAAGACCCGACGAGAAAATTACTCACCATAAATAATAATTTTTGAATATTAACGAAAAAAAGAAGCTTTTTTTCACAGATTTATAATTAAAACTGAAGAATGTACCTAAAACACGAGATTCTGTCTGATGCCGTTGACAAAAAAGAAAAAAATTAAGTAAAAAAAAACCTCAAAAAACTAAAACTTCTTTTCGATAAAAGTCAGATTTAAGAGTAGTGATATTTAATCGACTTATTATTTAATTATCTTTTTGATTTATGCGATGACGCAAACCTAAATATTTAACAAAATATGATTCCCAAGGGTTGGGGTTCATATTTTTGTTAACATCTCCTCCCAGCTATAGGTTAAATAGCAGTGTTAACTGGGTTCTTTAGCGTTGGCTCGTAAACAGTCTAAGAAGAAGAAAGCTCTAAAATTTAAACTGCGAAGGCAATGATAAAACTTTCCACTGTCTTTGCCATGAAGTCATGGCAGTTTAGAGATAATAAAGAAAATAACCTGTGGAGAGTTACGAAGAGAAATGGCATTAAAGGAAATATTTTTTTTTTTTTTTATCGAAAACTCGGAAGACTAACGTAAGAAACATGCGCAAGGACAATTTGAAATTATAAGGAAGAAAGAAGATTTGTAAGATAAAGTAGGAGAAGCGCGGATAACGAAAAGTCAGATGCAGAAGTTGCCGTACTTACCGCGGATGTTCAGCTGGGTTAACTGAGAAAGGAGCAGTGACTTGAGAAGTCAACGATTCAGATGATGATTTGAATCTGAGTACAGATGCAGTCTTCTCGTCGGTATTTATAGGACCAAACAACACGCTGCGTCAGCAACATTTGATGTCGTAGACAGACAAAAAGAAAGAAAGAAAGAACGAATGAAAGAAAGAAAGAAAGAAAGAAAGAAAGAAAGAAGACTGTATGGTTTTTGCTTGTTTGCATTTTTTTACAAACACGCGCGAATTATAGATAATTATAATACTGACACCTTATTAAATATGAGCACGTGTATATCTTCCCGACACATAAGAGCGTATTTTTCTGTCTATCTTTTGTTTGTAAATATACTCCACTTATTTTAGCATTTGAATAAGTGCACCCACACTTATATATGGGGGAGGAAAGAGAGAGAGAAAAAAACAGATAGAAAGATCTAGAGAGAGAGAGAGAGAGAGAGAGGGGGGAGGGGGGAGATGGAGAGAGATAGAGAAACAAGAGATAAACAGACACTCATCTTTTTAAGTGCGTTTTAACGCGCACCTTGCAGTGGCTAGTCCACTAGAATTCTTTCTTTTTTTTTTTAAACTTTTTCTGAACGACTATCCGCCTACACAGTCTCGAGTCGTTGCCCATTGCAGGGCAGGTGCAACTCTGAAGTAGACAGTGACACCGTAAAAACATAGCAAACTTGTACGTAGACGAAAAAAAAAAACCAACGGGGACAACATACTTGGTGAAAAGTTATTGGGTCTTTGCTAATATCAAAATGCTTTCAAACGACACTTAACATGTCCACTTCAGCTTCTGATGAAAAGTGACTAAAGAACCTTCATATTGGCAAGAAAGACGAATTAAAGCACAAAATAAGGAGCGGGAGGAGGACGAGCAAGAAACAAATTGATGAGCATTAAGTATATATAATCAGCTGTAAACAAGAATTGAAAAACAGGGAAAAAATGCAACGCTGTTTGGCGCTAGTCAAAATAATTCTTTTATTTGGCAATTCTTTTGAATGCTGACTCAGGATTTTATGTCAGCTTGCAAAACCACTGCTTAAAATGTCATTATATAGAATAACGTTTCATTTAAAATTCTTAAAAAAATAATTGAATCCTTTCCTCCAGAATCAGTAAAATAGAATTGTACTTATTTTTAAATTCAAGGATCATATATCGCTTTGATCATTCTATCGATTATACGGACTAGTATCGTCATCTTTGTTGTTTTGATTGTTACCTTATCTAGCATTGTTTAAAATTCAGGGATTCAATATTTTTATCATTGCAGCAATTATGAGGACTAATATCCCCATCTTTGTTGTTCCGTTACTTGTTCTTAGCATTGTCTTTTATTTTGTGGCGTTGTTACATCCACTTCCAAAAGACGAACAGGATTCAGCCTAGTCTTTTAAAGGCATTTACGTAGATTGACGGTGAAATAGTTTAAAATCTTATAGTAAAAATTTACCGGATTTATTTTAGAATTTACCTTTTTATCAAAACACTTCTTTCTATCTATCTATCTATCTATCTATCTATCTATCTATCTATCTATCTAAGACTATTGTTACCTTTGTTGGTATTTATCTATTCGCCCATACACACACACACACGCACACACACATATATATATATATATGCAAACATTTTGTGCCGATTAATTTTACTGATCATCTTTTTACATTTACGAATAGTCCTTTATAGACAAGGAGGAAATTCAGTCAGAAATTGTCCGAAGTTCTGTTGTCTTTAATAATATTTTCACTAAAGAAAATTATTTACTGTCTAAATACACAGATTATATATATATGTGTGTGTTTTTGTGTGTGCGTGTGTGTGTATAGTAGAGAAAGTCGACTTATGCATCTTACAAAATGTAGGTATAATAGGTCGGTGGAAGAAATTCAAAAAAAGAAATAATAATTTTTTACAAAAATGATCAGCGGAAAATATCATGAAGCCATTTCTGATCTTAGGTTGGGACCCGGAAGGAAATGTGCATCCCCACATAAATCAAAGGAAATAATAATAATAATTAAATATATTATTATGTATTATTAGGCCAATAAGCAAAATAGCGGCAGAATGAGAAAAAGTGTTAACAATTGGAATTTTCCGACACGCAATGAAAAATAAAATGAAGTTGAACTCTAAAAAAACGAAAACTAAAAAAAAAAAGCATTTAAAGAAAAATTCTGTTGCTCATGTGAAGATTTGTAGTAGGGGTCGACACCATTATTGGACAGCTTTCCCTTGAATAGAGGATCAAGTATGTTTTGTTTATATTATTTTAACCTAGATAGGGAGGTAAGGACATTGCTTTTTATATTATTTGCATATATATATATATATATATATATATATATATATATATATCTGTGTGTGTGTGTGTGTGTATAAATTTCGTGAAGTATATATCGCTGATTCCGTGACACATTATCTGTGATGATTTTTCTGTGGATCATGAGGAGTTCGGGACTTATGACAGCATACTACTTCTCTACGGTGACCCAATTGATATTGATCTGATATCTACTTGTGCGATAACCCTCGGCTATAACTCTAATTATGATGGAACGTTCCTAATACACTTCGACGAAGAACTCCTTTATAGTCCAACGCGCACACAACAAAACACCCCATGCGTCTGTTGAGTGAGGGAAAACCGTAACGACAGTGAGGGGTCAAACAGGTGACAGATCTTAGACAAAGATCATCTTTAAGTAACAATGGTTTGGGGGAGTCTGTCCTCCTAATGAAAACTACCTTTGTCGGATGTAGCATTAGGTCATATATATATATATATATATATATATATATATATATATATATATAGATAGATATATATATAAAATATATTTCCTATACATTGTTTTTATAGAAGCAATTTATTTAAGTAAATGCTATGTTTTTAATTAAACAGTATTAATTACATTTACCGGTCTGAATATATATATATATATATATATATATATATATATATATATAAGTAAATGCTTGTCATTTAGTTGATTCATGTTACCTTCGGCATACCGACTCCAGAGTTTCGTAGGCCGATCTGTCCGCTCACTCATCAGAGGTACACACACACACACACACACACACACACACACACACACACACACACACACACACACACACACACACATATATATATATGATAAAATTATAGTTATAAGGTATGCTATATTTATGAGTTAAAGTGCTCGATATCAGGAATAGTGTGTATGTATATATAGGAATAGTGTGTATGTATATATAAACGAGTACAATATCCAGCGGCGACAGTCTCTTTCATACTTAAACGCAATCGCCAGAGTGTTAATATATATATATATATATATATTACCAAATTCAGCTGACCTTTGCTGCGCGGATTTTACACCAATGAAACTATAAAACGGAAGATAAACCATTGAACGTTTTATTTATTTATTCACAAATTATACATACATATATATTTTTTTTCAACTCCGACATTTTTATTAATTCAGCAGACGTTATTTTTAGTGGATATCTGTATTTGAATTCGAGACCCCATTTTTATATGAGACACTGTGTATTACATTTGTCGGACTGCGCACTCAAGAAAACTTAAGACAGAAAATGCGCATTCCGGTAGTATTTGAATTGGAGAAACTATCGTTTGATCCGGCATGTCTTAGACTGCTCGGTTACAGAGAGCGAACGGACCAGCAAGGTTCTTTTTGCCCTTTTTCTCATTTAGTTTGCGCAGGCCGATGGACGTAATACGCACAGTTTAAAATAAAAATGGGGTATCTATTTCAAATACGGGTATTCACTAAAAATAACAAACAATTTGAATAAAAAGAACTGATAAGGTCAGTCTATTTCATTTTTTATTTTATTTTCCAATTTTCGGATGTGTCGAGTGTTGTTAAGTCATTTGCGAATAAAAAATAGTTGAAGAAAAATAACAAAATAGGAACTTCGGATGTTTATCCACAATACTCAACACATACGAAAAATTGTCAAAATACAATAAAAAAATAAACAGACAGACTTTTGTCTGTTATTTTTAATCATATATATATATATATATATATACATATATATATATATATATCTGTGTATTTAGGAACCAATCCTTCTTTCATGCACATTTCATTGAATACGACAGACAAGGTACTTTGATTTAGTTTTTTATACAATTTCTTATATGATCTAATATTTTTTTTTCTTTTCAGATGATAAATTACATAAAATATGTTCAAATTTTCTTTTTTCCGAGCGCTTTCGGCTATACATTTAACCATTTTTAAGGATGAAATATTTTAACTGTTAAATAATAAATAGTTTGTTGCATGTATGTATTTATATAATGTTTTCATTATTAAAACACGGTCAAGATATTGTGTCCATGTTCATAATTGATATTATTGTGTGTTGGTTTTTTTTGTTTGTTACCTGAGTGATTGCCTAAGACATTCAAAGGCTTTTTAAAATGTTTAGCATATAGGGTTACTGGACAAACTTCCCAGCTATGGCAAGAGTTTATACAATCATTAAGCCCTTTCACACAGGTAGACCCAGAAAGTTGTGAATAGGCAGTCATCAGAAGCATATGAGATTCGTGAAGGTGTAATTTAAGATCCTCTCCTCAAAACTAGTCTTTTTCTGCTTTGTATTAACTATCTATCAAAGAACATTCTCATATCACAAGTAAAATTCCATGCAAACGATACCCCTGTTTACGGTAACACATCTAACAACCATGTTTATTGGAGTCTTGCAGCCGATCTCTCCTCAATCTTACTCTTTTCTGTTTTTTCTTAACTATCGGACAAGGAACATTCTCATATAATAAATACAATTCTATGCAGACGATAACACTGTTTACAGAAGCGCATCTAAAAAGCAAATTGATTGCAACATTGAAGCTGATCTCGTCTATGAACTAGTTCTAACAGCTCAGTGGAGAAATAAATAGCTATTTTCAATACTTTAAATACCAAGATCATTTTAAATATTATTTTGTCAGTACCGTTCAGATACGGACGTTTCTCCGGTCATGATGAAGAGCTGAACTCTGAATGAGGCTCCATGTATTGACTTCAGATTTCAAGTGGAATTCACACAAACAATACATCGCTAAAGAAGCTGGAAGAACAGAGGACTCACTATATCACTCGAGGAAGTAACCTGACTCTTTCCGCCATGTTTTACTGTTTTACCTTTAAGAGTCAAAAAAAAAAAAAAAAAAATTAAAAAAATCAACACATGGCACAGTGGATAAAGGCGTTAGTTAGATCCAGTGACAGGACCCAAAGAGTTCAATACCCGTTTAAGGTAGTGGAGAGCTTTCAGAGGGGAACTAGCGGGAGATTACTGATAACTGACATCCATTGGGCATGGCGTGTGGATCTGGAACGGTCTACCCCAGTGGGTGAAATGAAGGGTTCGGTTCGACATTCCAACCACCTGAAGAAGGCCGGAGCGTACAACGGCCGAAACGTTGTGATAAATATGGCGACAAAGATGAGGACAATAGTCCGAATAATATAAATAATGTAAAAAAAAAAATCGAATATTACTCTGCCATATCTGGGCTGCAGTTGCTCAACCCTCATTTTTCAACCTTGATAAATTTTGAAACTGCTTACGTGGTCTTGTGTTTGTGTGTGTGTGTGTGTGTATGTGTGTGTGTGTGTGTGTGTGTGGAGGGGGAGACTTATTTTCCTCTCTATAGCCTCTTTATCACAGACACAACGTTGCAAGCCAGTTGCTACTCTGTCTCTATTACATTGATTCTGGTAAGCCTCATTCTCTTAGTTCTATCAGTTCAGGCTTTTACTGTTAGAACACGTCATGTTACTTCCTCGCAGACAAATCACCCTTATTTCTCCCGTGTTCGAAATGTAAGAAAGAAGTTCCACGCAGACAGATTTTTCCCCAGTGCTACCATTTTTTCGGAACAGACTCCGGTGAAGTTGCTTTCTTGAACACCATAGAGCTGATGTCAGGAGCCAATGGTTATTTCTCCTTATCCGCATAAACGCTACCTACTAACACTTTCTCTTCCATTCATATATAGTACATTGTTCATCATTATCATTTCAACTGTAACACTCTACCTGGGGGAAATTGCTTTGTGTTCAGTTATAAGTGAAGATCTCAAATTCCGTCTTCAAATAAGGATTAAGCGATGCGCCGGATTTTCAGAGTGTTCACACGTTTATAGATTTGTTACGTGGGACAAGTTTCAGTGAAGATATAAATTACTGGGAATAGGATTTCGGTTTAAAATGTGTTGGACTTTTTTTGGCACAACAAGAATAATGACGGACTATTAACAACAGATAGTGTAAAGAACAATTTATTACATGAATGATAACAGTTTATAACAACAAATTAGACCAATGGATAGCTGGCCTGAGTGGCGATACCACACATGTTGTTGTGATTTCTAGCCATCATGATGTAGCCGTGCATTCCCCAGCTTTTTCCCCAACTGAAATAGAAAAAAAAGTCATTTTATTTATTAATTGCGCATTGCACACACATCGTAATTTTACTTACACATACACATACATATTTTTTATATATAAAGAACAATATTGGGGATGCTGGGAACTTCTATTGTTGGGATATATACTAACAAAAGTGATGGAAAAATCTAAAAGAAATCGGATAGATTAATAAATAAATAAATTTAAATTTCCAAGCATTCCTGGTTCAAACGCATGCGTAGTCGCATCAACATAACAAATTTAGTCCGATGAAGTTCTAAAGGACGAAATGCATCATAAGAAAACCTTTTCTTTTTACTTTGTCATACATTTTCCCTTTATTCAAAATGAAACAATAATAGTAACAAGTGAAAATTTGGCCTGCTTAATATTTGGAATTCAAACTCAGGTGAAAATCAGGATTTGATAAATGTTGATTTTGAATAGGAGAAAATATAATAAAATCATTTTACTGTAGAAGTGCATTGATCATCAGGAAGAATGTTATGAAATATAAAGCTATATTATTTTTATATTTCTAAATTTTTTATAAACAATTTTTTTGCTATCCTCTGCCAGCCTCAATGGTGGAGAAAGCATTACCTCTAACCATCGCCAGTGAGACACGCTGCAAGAGCCACTTCGTTTCGTTTTGCGAGGCTTGTCCCTTAATCGAGACGCAATCGCGCCAATTCTTCTAAGAAACGCCATCGAACGAGGGCCAATAACTCCCGAAGTCTCCTCTACCACAGGAGTAAAAGAAAAAACTAACAGCAAGAGAAGAATATTTAACTTTTTTTTTTTTTCATCTCTGCGCCCCGGGCGACAGACTCCGGCTCAACTGCGGACTTGATCAAATTACCGGCCGAAAATGTATCCGCACAGGTCGCATTCCAAATCAACGACTTCCTCATTTTAAAAGGGTAATGCCATCAGATCGCTTTCCATCACCATGGTTTGGAAGGAGAAAATTATTTATTCATTGGCGCAGCGCAATCATCTAATTCTGATTTGGTCGTGATTTGGTCGTGTGCTATAATAAATCTTCGGATTTTTCTCCACATAGTTTATATTGTTCCTTGAATATACATACATTCCTGGGGGAAAATAAGAATTGATTTCCCTTTGGCTTCTTCACGGTTTGGAATTTAAAGTTTTCCTTTTCTTAGACTGATTGCTATCCATAGCTATAGAACCCAGTCCACTCTGTTATTTAGCGCATAATCGGGGGTTGGGAGAAAAGAAGAAACGGATTCGTGCATTCCCCAAAGGACATATGTGCGAAAATGAACGCAATAGCCCAGAAGTTGAAATTTTCACACCAAGTTCTCGTACGATCACTGGTTAAGGAACGTCGAATCTGGTCAGTACCTAGATGGGTGACCACTTGGAAATACCAGGTGCCGTAAGCTTGAATGTGCGGGTGGTGTAATGGATAAAGGCTTGGAATTGTTAATCAGAGAATAGAGATTTGGGAAAGGTATGAATCCACCACATCTCACGCCAGCTATGGGGTAATTATTAAAACTTGTACCATTAAACTATTATTATTCCCCCCAATATTCTTTAGGATCTAAAAAATTTTTTCTTGCTTTAAATAGTCTCAAAAAAAGCGTTGATAAGCGGTAGAAAACGAATCCCCCCCTCAAAAAAAAAAAAAAAAAAAAAAAATCCACGCCAATACGCTTTATTATCTGCACGTCCATGAATGTTTAATAGAAATAAGAGATAACGTTTAAAGAATATAGGCTAACCTGTTCTTAACCAGCCAGTAAGCTTCTCCGTTTTTAGTTCCGTAACCAACAACCAAGACTCCATGATCCAGTCGAGTAGAGCTACATGAAGGTTCCTTGTAGACGCCATGCGAATAGAGTTGGAAAGAAAAGTGACTAGCGTCAATGGCCACAGATATGGGACCGACAGTTGCCACTGCCTTTTGAAGAGCTTTCTCGTCCCCGGATTTCACATCAACGTAGCCCCTGACTGTGGCAGCGACTTTGGATACATCGAAGCGGCATTTGCCATCCTGAAGAAAGAAAAAAGGAAATTTTTAATATGAAAAATCTGTCAAGGACTTTGCTTATAAATAATTTATATCGATTAGTAAAGAATAATTTTAACATGGGATGAATTCTATAACTTTGTAAAGTAGACTCAATGTGTTAATAACTTAAAGTGTGTGTGTATGTGTGTGTGTGTGTGTAAATTGAAAATTTTACGGTATGCTATATTTATGGAGAGTTAGATTTGTACGTTTTCATAGAACCGTAAGCTGCATTTCTGCTGATGATCTCAGAAAGAGATGGGAAGTATTTCGGAAATAAAAGTGATTCTCACTGTTACAGAGCATTTCTTGCTTCATTTAATTGTAATATATAAAAAATATTTGTGAATATCAAAGGATTATGATCAAAATAAGCAAATATAACGTTTGCAATTTATTCATGCCTTAAAGAAAATTTGCTGCCTAAACACACACACACACACACATACACACACACACACACACACACACACACACATATATATATATATATATATAATCAGTAAGAAAAACCTTAAAGATTCATTTCGGTTATAATTTATTACGTGAATATTTTTTTTAAGCATTACGCCCCGAGCAAGGCGTGAAGCCACTAGGATGCAGGGGGTTGCAGAAGATTTGGAGCGAGAGCAGATAGGAGAAATAGAAGAAAGGATGAGGAGAAGGATAGTGGGTAGATCAAGGTAACTGATATCTATATGTTCATCTCTTCAGGCCGAAATCAATCAATCAGAATTAAAATATCATAATGTAAATGATCATTTTCACCTTGTAAAATTAAATTTACAGTTTTTTTCAAACAGTCAGTGGATGATAAATTTTCAATTAAAAAAAAGACAAGGGTGAGGAAAAAAAGGAAGGAAAACAGGGGAAAAAAGATGAAGAATAGAGAAGGTGGGGAAGGTAGCAAAAGCAACAGGAAGTGGTTTAAGTCTTCCTATGAGTGGCGGTCAAGAGGGGAAAAGAAAAGAGAAGGAAAGGGAAAAGAGAAAAAGAAAATTTAATTTAATTTTACAAGGTGAAAATGATCATTTAGATAATGATATCTTAATTCCGATTGTATGAAATATACTGCTCAGTTTATTATAAAAATAAATTGAGCTCAATGTGTGAATCAGTTTCAGTATTTTATATTTAATGTTTTATATTGTGTTAGTAGGATTCACTTGGATTATATAACAACGGATTACTACTTACACACACGCACACACACACACACACACACATATATATATATAAATATGAAAACATAGAAGTCAATGTTATATGCAACAGTAAAATTTCGATTGCATCTATATGAAACAGACAGGCCTGAAGTGTTGACTTCTATGTTCACTTTTATATTTACACACGCTCTATCTCTGATATTGAGAACTTTATCCCATAAATATAGCACACCTTAAGATTATATTTCTTCAGATATATATATATATATATATATATATATATATGTGTGTGTGTGTGTGTGTATGTGTGTGTGTGTGTGTGTGTGTGCATTAAATACAAAAAATCTAAAATCTTCTTATATCTCTTAAATGCAAAATACAAAAGTAAAAACTTACATGACCCTCATAAGGGTAATCTTCCTCAAGCATAATTCCTTTATGCTTCTTGATACACGTAAAAGCTTGGTCCATAAGTCCTCCATTGCAACCCAAGTTTCCTGAAGGAGGAAATAGCATAAAAATGACAAGTGCAAATTATTACTTGCAACCATATCCGTCACTGGCATTTTATATTAGTTGCCTCTTTTTTGATATAATAACATCAAAGTTAATTTGCTCGATCAATTAAACCATCTTTGTGAGAACAAATATCGTAACATAGTTGCTTTGGGAATCTTAATACAAGTAGGCGGACCTGGGAAGTAATCTAACAGACGATGGAAAATGTGGCAATCTGCAAGTGCATTGGAATAGGAAAGATGCCTTTCTAAGGTAAGCCAAATATTAAGAAACAGGAAAATTTCGTTAGAAACAAAGAAAAGAGTGTTATGCAATATCAGTGAATGCTTGACAATCTGTTCACAGATGGAGACTTGAGGCAACAGAAATGCGGTTTTACAGAAGGATACTGAGGACCCCATTGACCGAACATGTGAATAACTAGGAAGTTTCAAGGAAAATGGAAATAGAAAGGACGCTTAAACTGAGAATCAGAAAGAGACAACAAAAATTTCTAGGACACATAATGAGGAAAGAGGGCTTGGAGAATCTGACACTCAGAGGACATATTGAAGTCAAGAGGTACAGAGGAAACAGCGAGTAACCAACCTAATGAACTTGTATGATTGGAAGGCAGATAGGGGGTTGGGAGAGATAACGAAAAGACAAATCTTACTAAGAGTTACAAACGATAGGAAGTAATGGAGAGCCATGATCACCTACGTCCGGAAGGGATACAAACCATGGACTGAGTGAGTAATTCAAAATGGCAATAATAATATTTGCTTTATAAAAAGGTAAAGAAATTGTTGCTTTTCCTCAAATTTCGAATCGGACTAACAACAACTTTAATTATCATCTGAATTGATGTAATCTTTTGGGTTTTTTTTTTGGCTTTTATTTACTGACATACAATAATTAAACCATGAAAGCCTCGGCATAGATATGAAAAATGTTAATATCGACAATTTCGTTTCAGCTTCCGGTAATTGGATTTGCTGTTAGTGTAACGGATATCGGCCAAACATGTGATCAACAAAGAGGTTTTTGAGAAATTGTAAACAAAAAGGAAACTTATACTTAACATCAGGCAGAGAAAGTTGAGGTTTCTGGGCCACGTAATTATGAAGGCGGGCTTGGAAAATCTGATACTCACAGGGCGGATAAGAGGGACAGAGGAATGCAGCGCGTAACGTACTTGAGGAGCTTGAGTAAATAGATGGCAGAACAGGGTTTGGGAGAAATAACAGAAAGACAAAACTTATTAAAAGCTACAATGGACCAGAAGTTGTGGAGGGCCACGACCGTCTACGTCCTGAAGGGACACGGCACCTAAAAGAAGAAGAAAGGATATAGAAAACTTACCACAGTCTCTACTACAGTCAACCAAATCTTGTTCGGAAAGAGAGATCAGATTTTTCGTTTTCTTAAAATGTTGTCCTTCCAGAGAGCCAGTTGTGGAGAAAGCCCAGCAAGATCCACATTGTCCCTTAAATGAAATAAAAAAAAATTAAATTAAAAAAAGCAAAGTTTTTTTTTTTTTATTCATATCTTAAAGTCGGTCTCATATTTTTATAAAACTTTACTAAACGTATTTCAGTACAAGATGGATTCCGGTAGGGATAAAACTTCACATTAGTAATGATAGGGTAAACTAACTCGATAACAGTGAGGTGACATAAAACTATTTATAGCTCCCGTGGGAATTTTAACCACTTAATCATCACCCCAGGTGCGACAAGCATTAAACTATCTAAATAAACGGCAAATTCTATCTGTCCATCCGTGTGTCTGAAACCTCACTGACTCGAGCCACACTTGCTCTACATGAACATATATCTTTTTGAAATCAGGATGTTCCCGGGATTGAAAAACTGCCATTCATCTGGTGCATGAACATCCAACATTGAGGCTTTTGTCCGGATGAGGAGGGAACAGTTAAAAATTCAAATTTTAAAATAACTAAAAAAAGAAGTTATTTTAATTTTTTTTAATTTATATTAATTAATTTAATTTATATTGAGTTTAAAGTAACGTAAAAAGTTCGTAATTTTTTTTTTTAGTTTTAGACTCAGTTCAAACTCAGTTTATATAAAAAAAAACTTTGCGAATTGAGAAAATCAATTTTATTTTTTCAAAATGTCAAGGAATCAGAGTTAAACTTATAGGTTTCGTGATGTGTGGTTTTGAAATTCCGAAGAGTTTGTGATTTGAAGAACTCAATTGAAGTTCTACGGAGTTTCTGATTTGAAGAACTCAATTTTTGTCCCGAATTGGAATTTCGGTCTAAATCGGAGTTTTCGGCCCAAATCGGTCTATGGACTTATAGCACGAATCAGAGTTAAAGAGAGATTTTGAAGTTCCATGGAATGAATTGAGGAATTCAAAGTAATTTCTTCAAAATGTCATAGAAAAATCCCAAAACCAGAGCTCTAAGGTAAAGGGAGAGAGAGCATAAAAACACCAGAAGAGGTACAAGGTAGGAGACAAGCTGATGCTTCAAACCATTCAAGATCAAAAGCATTTGAAACATCAGAAGAGGCACGAGCTGCTGATGGCAGTGAAACTTCATAAAGGAGAGAAACAAATACAGTAAGAAAGAGAAGATCAAAAGCTGCAGAGCATGACAGATTTTATCAAGGAGAGAAACAAATACTACAAACCATAGAAGAGCAATATCTTTGGAAACACCTGATGAAAGACATGCCAAACAGGTTTGTGATAATCACAATCATGCTAAAAGGAGTTCAGCTTCTTTTTTGAGCCTGTCCAAGCTGGGTTTTCAATACAACTGTGACAGTGTTTATTCAAATCATCACAATATATCTATTGAACCAATGATCATTCAATGGAAACATTGTGATGCTCTCAGATTCAAGAACGAACCAGGCGGGATATACTGTAACAAAGAAAAATTACAGCTGTAAAATATACCAGTTCCTCCAGAGCCATTGATATCACTTCTGGGTGGGAGCTCATCCAGCACATCAAAAACTACAATAACTGTTTTACAATGATCTCATTTGGAACCAAAGATCCTACCATGTCAGGATGCAAATCAGCTTGCAGGATTCAGGGTAGGAGCTAGCTTAAATGTCCGCATGAATTGCGGTTTTTAAGCTAGTTGGTTATAAGACGGAACCTAAAATAAATACTGGAGTGTATAATTAATACCGTTTTTATTTTAATTCTTATAATCGTCAGTAATAACATTTGCTGAAATATCTGAATTTATTTTATATACAGTGACGCTGATATGTTTTTAATGTAGTGGGTCCCAGGGTCTACAGGCGATGATTTGGGTAAGTCCCAGGTAAATTCAGTAAGTTCCAACTAAAGTTTCTTAATAAATTGTAGTGTTAATATTTTTTATTATTGTTATCAACAATAAAAAAAAAAATTTAATCGTCCTAAATCGCTTAAACTGGTAGAACAAGGTTTGTATTTTAAATTAACAGAACAAAAGTTATTATTTTTTAAATTAGATCGATAAATTCAAAACAAAAGCAGTATTTACACTTAATCACAGTTCAATTAAGAAATTATATATTTTTGAGAATTATGAGGGAACAAAGTTTAAAAAAAAAATTAAATTAATAAATTGTAAGTGTTGATATTGGAAAGCGAATCGATTTTAGAGAAGTTTCCTTTAAAAAAATTAAGTAATCTTCATTGAATCAGATGAGAAATATAGAACTATTTACTGAGTGATGCCACCAAATTTCACATCTGTATGATAAAAAATTCTAATAAAATATTTTTTCTGCAACAACTTAAAAAGCATCAAAATAAATTATCAAATAAATAGATGTGTGTATACTGTATGTAAACAAAACGTTCCACAATTTCAAATAAAAACAATATGATGAATGGAGCCCCTAAGTAGCACCAAGATAAATTATTAATATTAAGAAGAGTGATGATATTAACAAACGAATAAAACATTGTCACCACTTTGACAAGACCAATAAACTGTCACCAAGATCTTTTAACCTTAAAATAATCAACAAATTAAATGTGATTTTAATGGATGAGAAAATTAACTCAGTCAATAAGATAATGAAACTTGACTTATACAGTGAAAAGTAGATTTTGAGAAAAGATCAAACGATGCAGTTATGTTTGTGGTAAGCAGATTAACGTAAATAAATTCAATAGCATTTGTTAATGGCTACTTTTTCTGCATAGTGTACAGCTTTATCTGCTTGATCTCTTTCAATTTGACCAGTGCTTCTTCAAAATGGAACTCTGACCTTTTCGGTCCCAAGTTGACCTTAAGAAGCTGACTTTGATGTAAGCGTAATAAAGAAATGGGGTTCTCCGGCATTTTCTTTATTCGATTGCGTGTGCCGATAGATGTAATAGAAACAGTATAGCGGCTCGGACTGAGGAATCGGAGAGCCGAGTTCGAATTCCAGTCCAATCCGTTACACTCACTTACGCATGGTACATAACTTAGAATAAAAAAACAAAACAAAACAGAGTGCCTATTTCAAACATACGTATCCACTAAAAATAACGGTTGGAGTAATAGAAAATATCGGATTAAAAATAAATCCATTAATCCTTTAGAAATTAATCTGTTTGCATTCCTTAAAAGGGTAACTAGAACCTTGTTGGGCTGCGTTGCTCTCTGTGGCTGAGTGGGCATAAGCACGACGGATCAAAAGGTGGTCTCTACTACGAAGGGATACGCAGGAGTGCATAATTTTATTTAATTATTAAGTTTTCTCGAGTGTACCGACCAATAGGCGTAGCACACAAATACATACTCACTCACACATACACAAACACGCACACACCAACCCACATAATATATATATATATATAATATATATATATATATATATATATATATATATATATATATATATCTATAGTTATTTTTCAAGCGTAGCTTAGATGTGGCACAAGGCTGAAAGTAGTGAGCTACCTCCTACTTTCGGTCTTGTACACATTTAAGCTATGCCGGGAAAATCAATATATATATATATATATATATATATATATATATATATATATATATATATGTTGTATATTTTATATATCAACAAACAGTAATTAGAAAAATATGACAAACTGGAAAGTTTTTTTTTTGTGACGCGTTTCCAGTTTGTCATATATATATATATATATATATATATATATATATATATAGAGAGAGAGAGAGAGAGAGAGAGAGAGTGAGAGAGAGAGAAAGGAGTGAGAGAGTGAGTAAGTGAGACAGAGACAGAGAGAAAGTGAGAGAGAAAGAGAGCGTGTGAAATATATATAAAGAGAAATAGCGAAGCACACTCTTATTACATTAAATCAGGTCGATTTATACAAATTACTGACGTAATATAATGAACAGTGTTGTTTATTTGTATTGAGCCTAGTAGATGGTCGTCAGATGATGTTTGTTTAAAATTGAAAGGAAAAAAAAAAGAAAGAATGTGTAAAGGGCAGTAAATGATCCAGCTTTATTTTGAAGTTTAATTTACACAATTAATTATGTAAGTGGCACAGTAAATGCTTGACATGCCATTGCCACGTGTTAGTAATACAAGGAAATAAAACACCCACACACAGATAGGATATTTACTAAGCTTAGCTTAGTGTGGATCAAAAGAATTGCGAGAAATGAAGATTGTGTTGCCCCAGACATCGAATTAGGAAATGCTAAATTTTGCCTGGGTTTGAACACTGGTGACTAATACTTGTAGGAGAAATACGCATTTACCGCATCCGACAGCACCCCCCCCCAATTATCTATCTATCTATCTATCTATCTATCTATCTATGATTTCGTTTTAGTACTTAGATAATAGAACGCTCTGAAATACAGGATAGTCTAAGCAACCACCTATAATACGAAATAACTTTCGGTTTTAAAGGGTTTAGAAGCCGTAAAAACCCAATCAATCAATAAATCTAATTTTATTGCACTGTTTATCTAACAATCTATATCTACGAGGGTACATAAAATATTATCCACACTTTCGCCATAAGGTAAGAAGAATGTCGATAATTTTTAACCTCGTATATTTTCAGACACAACACATATTTACCCGTTTATTTAGTTACACTTATATATTCAGTCTTTTCATATCTCTTCCGCTCTCTGCATTGTATGCGTGTGTGTGTGTGTGGGTGGGTTTGTGCGTGTTTGCAACATATATATATATATATATATATATATATATATATATATGATAAAAAGGCTAAATACTAATATTCCATGGTCTGATGAATTGCATCGTAATTACGATTCCAATGTAATAAATTATAACCATCGAATATTAGTGTTTAAGCCTTTTTATTATATTCTTATTCTGTCGTGGACATTGAGTTCTACCTGGATTCTATCCTCTTGGAAACTATTATATGTGTATGTATGTATGTATATATATATTTATATATTATATATATATATATATGTGTGTGTGTGTGTGTGCGTGTGTGTGTGTGTGTGTGTGTATTAACCACTAATATTATCTATCTATCTATCTATCTATAATTTATCTATCTATCTGTGTGTGTGTGTGTATATATGTATATATTGAGAGAGAGAGAGAGAGAGAGAGAGAGAGAGAGAGAGAGAGAGAGAGAGATGTGATAAGGAACAAATTGGAAGAGCTTTTTTTTATAAATCTCAAGATTTTCGCTTTTTTTTAAAGTTCGCCAGAGAATCTGGAGAAAAAAGTAAATTCTCTGTTTTTTAAATTGCAAATATACAGATCACACACACACACACACACACACGCACACACACACACACACACACACACACACACATATATATATTAATATAGGCCTGGTCCTTTTCTTCGCTCACAAAACGTATATAGCAGGAAGAAAAAAGACCACAAACCTAATAAAAACAAAATTTTACCGTGGAAAAGTTTATATTATTATAAAGATCAAAGTATTTCAAAACTATTCTTTAAATTTTTTTTTTCCTTTGCAGCGTGTTTTAAATTTAGGTTGAAAATCTTGTTTTTTTTTAGGTCAGCGATTAGGTTTTAGCATTAGTTGTTTTTATGTGTGTATTGTGGGGGTTCATAGATATATGTCTATCAACATCTAATTTTCATCGACACAAGTGAAGTTTTCTAAGCAGAAAACAATATTAAAAAAAAGAAAAATGCAATATTAACGTCCTCCCTATTTGTCCTTGAGAGAATAGAAACTGAGCTTTTAACAAGAAATCTTGCGACTCAAGAACTAAAAGCACAAAAATCCTTCGTTTCTAAATTTTTTCAAGACGAGAATTGATTATTAAGGGAAATCGTGCGTCTGCAGATCTGTCTTTCAGACAGCTTTTCCATATGACAATAAAATGAACAGTATCATCAGCACTTCGCTGATGTTTCAGCAATAACAATTGTGGGAAGAAAGAAATACTAATTAAAATTATTTAACCTTAGTTAATAATGCATCTGCTAATAAATTCCTTCAACAATTTTATTTAATGTTACTTGTATATGCAAACTACAAATGTCGTTTAGGGGAAACAATGATAACTGAAAGATATAACTAGTAATTCTTCGTAGCTTAATCGCACTTGCATCTGACAGATTTCTAGAAAATTATAAATGAGATTTTGAATAACCTCGCCTGTGAAATGACGGTCTGAGAGTTTCAATGAAGGGTAACAGAACTGGGATGAAATAATTAGTTGTCAAAATTAATTAGTAATAATCAATAATGCTTCGACTAATCAATTCAAATAACCAGTTTCCCAGTCATGTTGCTAACCAAGTGAAAGGTCCACAAAATGGATCTAGGTAAATTGCTCGAAATCATTTGCTCGAAAAATAATTTCTCGAACTATCAATTCAAAAGGCAGATTTCTCGAAGTAATTTCGAAGCACCACGTAAACTGCGCCGTAGACCTGCTGTATAAAAGTACCCGTTCTTTAATTTTAACTGTTCAGTTAACAACAATAAAGTTGTATTATTTTATCTTATAGTAAATATTAGAAACAATGTAGTTTTATTTTATTTTAACCACAGGTTTCGAGCAATCTGCCTTTCGAGCAATTGATAGTTCGAGAAATTATTTTTCGAGCAGTTGATTTCGAGCAATTTACCGGATACCCCACAAAATAATGTCAAATGTGTTGTCTGGACGTTTGTGGCGCCACAAAAACTCAGCGTGTGATAACTAAAAATTATATGACAACCATAATTTTATCTCTGAAACTTTCTGAATTAGAATGAAAAAAACAATTTAAAAAATAAAAAATATATACCTTGAAGCTTTAATTTTAATTTCAAGCTAATAGATTAAAGTTATTATTCCAAATAAGTACAATATTTCAACCGAATTTAAATTGATTAGAATTGTTTTTCCTTATCAGTAAAATAAAATCTATAAGTTCGTTCATACTGACAGACTTGTCAGCACAACATAATTCTCTTTACTAAAAAATCTTTCAAAAATAAAATATACTTTTCTGAAATGTTATTTAAGAAAAAATAGCTAATTTAAAGTTTAATTTATTTTAAAATAAATACTACTTACTTTTATTTTAAAATAGCTCAGAAAATCTTTTAAATAGTATGATTTGTATATGGGAAAATCGATATTATTCACAAAAAGTGTTAATGTAACATTCACTTAAAAAAAAAAAAATCTTAAAATCCAAAATATATATTTTTGAGATGAGGTATTATAACTATTTACCTAATTTACCTTGTTCAGGCCGTTGTTACCAACATTATTTGCCCCAAGGGCATATGACCCGGTGAATATGAGCGTTGGTTGAAATAATCCAAAAGTGACTTGACCCAAAGAATTGTCAGTTCAATACCTGGCCACATCTATGTCTCTTCTATATCTATCTAAGTTTCTTCTATCTATCTAATAATGAGGATTGTAGTTCGCCCCAAAGAAATCAAATTGTCGGCCAGTGTATTGCTTTTAAGGCAAGTAGTCTTTTTAAGTGTTCAATATTAATATTAACAAAGAATAAATTTGGTGCTTCTTCTGTATATTTAGAGATTCCTGATAACATCCAAAGAAGAATCTGCAATGTTACTGGTCCTGACCCGTCATCTCCATTTTATTCACTTTCTCACCGCCGTAATGTTTTTTTTATAAATACGGTAGTTGTTCTGATAAACTTTCCCCTATGATACCTAGACTTTATGAGTTTAAGCGCGGTACTTGATTGGCGGCAAGGTCTCATGATTTTACGGTTGAAATGGTTAGATGTAACCGTAAGTTCTATGCTAACAGTTTCTTCTTTCGCAGCGCTTCTCACTTGTGGAAATCTCTCACGGTTTCTTGATTTCCAGTTAACTTTGATCTTCAAAAATATAAATGCAGTGTCAATCGTTATATTCCGTCTTCTTAATTCTTGTTTTTTTTTCTCTATTCTTAATAGTATTTTTCTTATATTTCTCCAACACATAGCAACCTCTTGCGTATTAGTGATTTTACTGCCTTGCCTTGGGTGAAATAATTAAAAAAAAATTAATTAAAAGTTCAGAAACTTATCTTCCCGATTTCAAGTTTCGCAGACGTAATTCGCTTATCAGTAGGTTAGATAGATCAACTGATGCAGTCGGCCTATTCTAGGTCCCTCTGAAAAAGCTGTTTTACTCAAAGGTATTGTGCTTTACAGATAAGAAAGCGCCCGCAAAATGAAATTAGTTTAACTAAGGAAAGAGGAAAATAATTTTGTGAGCCACTTACTTGGTTCTTAACGGGGGTCACATATCCTTGCTGTCTCCAATCAACTTCCGATGGAAGTTTGCTTACGTCATCGTCAGTGACGGTAAATTCTGGTCGGTGCATGGTCAGGTTTCGGGGTAATAATCCATTCATCATTCTTACAAATTCGTAACCGAGCTGTCGAAAATAATAAACACATTTATGAATGCAAATAAAGGAGAATTTGTTTGACATGTCGCTAAATGCAACCTTGGATTTTGAAATTTTCAAAAATAAAATAAAAATAACTGAAAAAAGAATAAGCAAAAACAAAAATGGAATATAGTTCAAGAGATTGGAGAGAGGGAGAGGAAATGGAAGAGAGAGAATAAAACAAACAAGGACTAAAATAAAGTAAAATACCTATTTTATTACGATAATGCCATTTAGGAATCTCTATAAAATATTATGAAAATTGACATTGGATTAATTTCTAAAATTCCCTCCCTCCACACGTTCTCTCTATGTATGAAATATTTCTTTTAATAATATATAAGCAAGATACTGTAATTAGCGTAGGTCACGACAGCAACAGGATTGGCTATAAAGTATATACGTAGTAACATCATCAATAGTTGACTGGCGCTTTTAAAGACCCATGCTTTCAAAAAGAAGTTATCCTTTCTCTTTTCGTCTATGCGCTGGGTCAAACACCCCAACGAGAAGCGCTCATCAGCTGGGCAGTAAGTAACACTTTTCTCTAACCAGAAATGTAGACATTTAAATTTGAACTCTTTTGTTAACGAAAGGCATGCCTTTTCCACAGCCAGACGTTTAATATTTTTATCGCATTTTATCGAATAAACATTTCATAAAACTTCAACTTCATTTATTTTGCTTTCGTTCTGTATTGTTTTGTAGAAAGTTTTTTTTTGTGTTATAGATCTACTCGGTAGATATAGATACCACATCAGGGCCACATGAGAATCTTTCCATTCGATGCCTCCTTTCGCGCGTAACAAGTGAATATGTATAAATAAGCTTTATTGATTAAATTTTAATAATTCTCAGCCAAGACAAAGAATTTTTTTGTAGTCTTTTTGAAAGAAAGCAAAAATAGTTTAAAAAACCCATTAAAACAGCGATTCTTAAATCTCTCAACCCAAATAGTTAAAAATCCCATTAAAACAGCGATTCTTAAATCTCTCAACCCAAATAGTTAAAAATCCCATTAAAACAGCGATTCTTAAATCTCTCAACCCAAATAGTTAAAAATCCCATTAAAACAGCGATTCTTAAATCTCTCAACCCAAATAGTTAAAATCCCATTAAAACAGCGATTCTTAAATCTCTCAACCCAAATAGTTAAAAATCCCATTAAAACAGCAATTCTTAAATCTCTCAACCCAAATAGTTAAAAATCCCATTAAAACAGCAATTCTTAAATCTCTCAACCCAAATAGTTAAAAATCCAATTAAAACAGCAATTCGTAAACTTCTCAACTTAAATAACCCAAATAAAAGACATAAACTGACTGAATAACACTACTTAAAATCACCAGCTGCCCTTTTTAGTGAACGACTCTTGTGTAGAGTCTTACGTCTCCATCATGTTGAAACACCGGTTCCAGTACGATCATGAAAGTTAAGCAACGTTGAGCATGGCCAGTACCTAGAAGGGTAACCACTTGGGAATATCAGTTGCTGAAAACTTGTATGTACGGGTCGTGTAATGGATAATGCCTCGGAATTGTTAATCGGAGAGTCGAGTTCCAATTCCCGTTGGTTTCGTTATATTCACTTACGCACAAATACCCTTGGGGAAAGGCATGAATCCACCACTTCTTCCCCCAGCTATGGATTAATTGGTAAGACTTGTATCACTAAAACCATTATCATCTAAAAAAAATTATTACAATCTAAAAAATATTTTCTGGCTTTAAATAACTTGCAAAGGTTGATAACCCGTAGAAAACGAATAAATCAATCAATCTTGAGTAAAATATAGCAGAAAGAGAAAAATAGAAACAAAAAGGACCTTATACTTAACATTCGAAAGAGACAGTTGAAATTTCTAGGCAACATAATGAGGAAAGAGGGCCTGGAAAATTTGATGTTCTGTTATAGTGGAACACACCTATTTTATAGTTAATAGACTCTCCCACCTATAATAAGTAGGAGTAGTAAGAGTAACGCAGTCGAGTTGCTAAGTGAGTCGTGTCAGGGAGTCAGTCAATCAGTCTGTCAGTCGATGTCGGACGATAGTTAGTCGAATACTAAAGTATCAGCGACCACAACTAGATTACTCTGCGGTATACCTATTATATCAAGTTCCTAACGTTTGTACGTCGAACCTATTTTAGGACCGACTTAGTACAAATACAAGCCTCCACTGTGAAATCACTCCACATTTTCGCAGGACACATTGGAGATAAACAGCACATAATTAAAATAACGAACTTGTGTAAATGGATGGCAGAAGAGGGTTTAGTAGAGATAGCAAAAAGAAAAAAAAATTGCTAAGATCTACAAAGGACAGGGAATTGTGGGGAGTCATGTTCGCCAACATCTTGAAGGGGCACGGCACATAGAAGAAGAAGATTCTAAATGAAGTAATCAGTCTTCTAAATATTTATTTATATAAGATAAAAACAACTATTTGGACTTACCATATCAGCATATTCATTTATGCCCAACCAATAGGTCTGCAGTCCATTATCGGCGTGAGAGTTGTGAACAATGACGCGATTAAAATTTTTCTCCCAGATTAAACGCCTACAAACGAATGACAAAATCTTTACAAGTGAAATTGACTTTTGATCCACCAAAAAAATTAAAGAAAAAAAAAAATACTACTATTTAATGATACCCAGACAAAGCTTATGGGAAAAAAAAATTGTACAAATTCTCTTGACAAATCGACCATAGCGAGATTCGAACCCACGAACTTCACGACCGGAAGGCTAACCTTCCAACCACTCGGTCAGAAGCTCGCGATCGTTCGTACATACATACTTAATAGGTGCGATTCAGTTTCGTGTAATGCCATAGTTTGACTGACCCTCAAACATGAGGGCATCACACATGTAGCTTTTTTCAGTCCAGTTACTCACTTTCTCTTGTATAGATATAGCAATGTTGCATTAGGCATTATAATAATGGTTTTACGCTGATACAGATAACATCACGAACTCACCTTCCTGACAAATCGACCATGGTGAGATTCGAACCTGGGTCTCATGGTTTAATCACTTCGCTATGGGCAAACAGGAATACACACACACACACACACACACACACACACACACACACACACAAAATTTGTTTTTTACGAATTTGTAAACATTCACTATTACTGCTGATAATGCAAGACTCTCCTAGCGATTGAGTTCTCTGAGTGACTAGTGTGTTTATGAAACCGGGCGTCGATAGCCTAGGGGTTAGAATCTCCGACTGATACCAAATCGGTCGGGTTTCGGTCCCAGCCTGAAGCGATCGGATCCCTAGCCACACTGATGATGAGCTGTGATACAGCGAAACAGTCTGTGGATGACGATATATATATATATATATATATATATATATATATATGAATATATAAATACATACTTACACGCGGAAGACAAAAATATCTCTACACTGATTTTAAACATAATTTTTCGATAACAGATAATAACGGCATGTTTTCAATTTACCTGAGGCTTTCAGTATTTGCTGATTCGTAGTTTTTCCAGTATTGAGTTTTAAAATCTTCCCATAATTTGTCCAACTTGGGGTTGGTTATAATAGAAGCGGTTGAAACAGCCAACAAGGCGAACAGAGCAAAGAAACACTTCATCTGAAAGTAAAGACAAAATAAATGAAGAGAAATATTAGGATGAGTCATAAGTAATTTCCGTTTTGTGAATCCAATTGTAATGACGAATGTATCATCCTAACTACTAATAATACGTGGTAGTTAAGAATAAATTTGGTGTACGCCAACATACCGTAGTTTTTGCATAGTCGTGGCAGCGTACACAGTGGATAAAAAGGAAAAAATGTTATCCCCTACCATGATAATTACAGAAAAATAACACTGGACAATGTTTGGAACTCGGTTGGTCTGTTCAACTGTACCCCCCGCTATATTCACCTTATTTTGCACCAACTGATTATTAAGTTTTTTGATCGCAGAAAAAACGCTTTGATGGCCAAAACTTACTTTAATGAAAACGAGATTCAAGACTGGCTCGAAATTTTTTCGCATAAAAACCTGCGAAATTTTATTAAAAACATATTGAAGAGTTGTCCAATAAGTGACAATATCTCATTTCAAATAATGGTGAATGAGGATAGTCATTTTAAACTAGAACAAAATCGTTTTTTACGTTCGAGTATTCTGTCAACCAACCAATTCTGAGAGAGTGAAACTAAAATAACATTATATATATATATATATATATATATATATATATATATATATATATATATATGTGTGTGTGTGTGTGTGTGTGTGTGTGTGTGTGTGCGTGCGTGTGAGAGAGAGTGTGTGTGCGTGTGTGTGTGTGTAAAAAAATTCAGCTATAACTAAAATCTGTAAAAGGACAATATGAATAAAAACAGAAGGAAAACTCGTCGGTTAGGATAAGTTTTCCTTTTTGACTTTAGTATTTTGTTTTTATTTTTTAAAAACAGTGCTCGATACACAAGTAGAGCCTAAATTATAATTATTTAAAAAAATGATTCCATCACTACACAGGAATTACCATGTTTCAAAAACAGAAGATAAAATCTTCCAATTCAATTATAGAAATTAAATTAAATTGAAGTACCTAGTTCTGTTTCATTTTCAAGCGAATCTCTGTGTGTGTGTATGGAAGAGTTCGAAATTACGAGTCATCGAGTTCATTAGCCTTGATCAAATGTTGATCACACCAGATTATGCGCTCTTTTCCGTTAATTGTAACTAAGGTCCGCTCAGCATATTTTCAGTATAAACTACTGTAGGCCAGAGCAGGCGTCTGACACAGAGATTAGTTAGTCACGCTAGAAGACAGATTTGTTCAGAATCGAGTAACTGGCCACTATTCATTTGAAAGACATGATATACAAATGCCTGTCTGTCTGTCTCTCTCTCTCTCTCTCTCTCTCTCTCTCTCTCTATATATATATATATATATATATATATATATATATATATATAGTATGCAAGAAATTATATACAAATCTATATATCAGACTTATTGTGGATAATCGAATGGCAAAATGGATAAACGCCCAATTGATACGATTTGTCCCCCGAAGGAAATTTCTCAGATTAGTAATACTTTTTTTTACCTATAGTCAAATATATCTAGACTAGACGTGGTGGGGAGGGAGGAATACAAATGCCGGCTACAGTTATACATTGAAACCATTAAAGAAACAATTCAATATTTTTTTTAACTTGCGGTTTAGATGTTTAAGTTAGTTTAACTTAACTGGTCTCGTTCAGTCGCTATATAAAAAAAAAAAAAATATACTACTCCCACTGATGTTTATTACAAAATGTTACATACAACGTTTAAAATAAATTTCGTTTCTTTTTTCTTTTAGTAATTAATTTTTAAAAAGTAATTTTAACTAAATATTATTGATTTTTTCAAATTCGTTTAGTCTTTGTTTATAAAATCGAAAAGATTTCTAAAGAGTAATATAGTGTAAAAATGCTAGTAATATTTCTTTTATAACATTTAATAAGGAGTTGCAAGATGAATTTGCCTCCTCAAAATGTGTGTAATTATCCTTACCGCACTAAATATTTATAAATTACAGCATACTGTGTTTTTGTTTGTTAAATAAATGTAAAAACTATAGGTCATATAAGATAGCTAATATTTGCGCCATTTTTCTACTGTTTAAATATAAGAAAGTAGGTTAGACTAGACAAATAGGTCAGATATGTTTACAATTATTAAGGAGAGACAAGGAAAGAAGAGTAGTCAGAACGACTGTAGGTACATCTCGGAACGAAACGCGTCACTAATAAATTTTCTATCTTGTCATTCACTTTCTCACTATTATTGTTCATTATTAATGAATAAACTTGGCTGTGAACGCGTCCTGTTCCTTATTAAACAGTATGAATTACACCGTTTCAGAAAAGTCAGTGCATCCACTAAAATATAATATTTAAGAAATAATGTCGGATTAAAGATAATTTACATTAATTCTCTTGGAATTTGGTGATACTGCCTGATGAGTCGACCGAACGATTACAAAAAAGGTTCGTCTACGCTACGAAACACTGGAGTCGGTGTGCTGAGTATAATACCAATCAACTAAATGACACATTTTATATTTGTATTATCTTTATATATATATATATATATATATATATATATATATATATATATATATATATATATATATACAACAATTTAATAATAAATAAAATAATTTTTTTCTCTTTTATATATATATATATATATATATATATATATATATATATATATATATATATACAAGCAATTTAATAATAAATAAAATAATTTTTTTTTTCTCTTTAGAATCAAGTCTACTGAAGAGTGTTTGTATCATTATTAATACTGCATCTCGGGCGTTATAATTGCAAAGACGGAAAATGTGACATTGAAATCCGAAGGCGCATTAGAATAACGAAAGATGCCTTTCAGAAGCTAAGCAAAGTATTATGAAACAGGAAAATTTTGATAGAAACAAAGAAGTGAGTGTTGAAATGCTGTGTAATATCATTACTCTGTTGGCAGTGAATGTTGAACAATTTCCTCACTGACGAAGCGGAGACTTGAGACAGATGTGGTTCTGCAGAAGGATGCTGGTAATACTATGCGAGAAAATAGGAAATTTTTTAGGAAAATGCGAACGATGAGTATAATCAGAAAGAGACAGTTGAAATTCATGGAACGCATAACGAGGGAAGAGGTTTTGGAGAATTTTACACTAACGGGGGAAATACCGAAGACACGAGGAATAGAGAGTAACAGTGAATAACGTATCTAACTAACTGGTGTAAATTGGTGTCAGAGTGAGTGCGGTGAGCTTTGATCTCCTGTTCTGAATGGACACAGCATATAAAAGTAACCTCCAAATGTATATCAGAGAGAGAGAGAGAGAGAGCGAGCACGTTACGTAACAAAAAAACAGTATAAGAAATTTTTCATCTTACCTTCAAGCTAGAGCAGAAAACTTGTGAAATTCCGAAAAGAGTTCTCTTTATTTATATGAAATTTAGAGATAATTATTTTTTTTACCTCCACAAAGATAAGCTTTATCTCTTATCGTAATCAGATGACAATCATAAGACTTAGCTAAACAACGACAGTAATCAGTGACATTGCCACGAACACTTCTTCGACCATTGTCACTCTTGCTGCTTCGACGAATATCCAAATGTCTACCCTACACCAACCCTACTCTCTTTACGAGCTTGCATTTGCAGCTATTAGTACCCGATTCGTTCGTTTTTTACATAGTCAAATATCTAGTTCAATTTGCAATGTCACTCTCCGATGATATCGTTTTAGGGTGTGTATAATTCGTCTTACACTCACAATCGAATGAATGCAGATATATAAATAAAAGAAAGAAAGAAAAAAAAAACAGTCGACTGGTTTCTATTATAAATTACATCAGCAACATGATTAAACAAACCCGGAACATTTATACGTTTTACTAACAAAAATAATTACTATTTGTTACTTGAACAATTAATTCTATTGTCTTTTTATATTATGAGAAAACTGTTATAAAAATAGTACAAATATAATTTGCATTACTCGGCATAATTTGTTTTTTAATCTTTTCACCCCGAGCCAGGCAATAATGCCACTAAAACGTAGGGTGTTACAAGGAATAAAAGTGAAAGAGAACTTGAAGATAGAATGGAGAGGATTGAGGAAAAGACGAAAAAGGAACAGGGTTAAGGAGACAGTAGATAGCGATTGATGTTGCATTTAAATTTTTGAAGGTTGTTATTAGGGAAGCAAGAAATCGGAAAGGAAAGTTCGAGAAAAGAAACTGAGCAGAAATGGTGGTTACATCTAGCTAGTTCGACAATCTAGTAGCACGGTTAATTTTATGTAGGCTGGGCACATCAGAACAGTTGCCATGAAAATATTTATAGAAAAGACAGAGGGTTTGTGTGTCACGTCGGTGAGAAAGTGACTGAAGTCGAGATACCTGCTCAGAATCAACTAGTTTATAGACCCTTCTTTGGATTTTGTCAAGAATCTTGAGATGTACAACAGGAGCACCAGACCAGATATGGCAAAAGTATACAGTGCATGGACGAATGGTAGATTTATAAATGTGTAAGATGGATTCTGACAAGAAAAATGTTCTGGCATGACACAGTGAACCGAATTTTATGCAGTAACACAAAAAAGAAAACTCGTCACCTATTTTGTTTACAAATATTTCTGTTCTCTTAATTTTTGTTGCTTTTTATTCCAACAATTCAATGAGTCAAGCAGACCGCCATGAATTAAGAGAGTGCTCTAAATCGTATGCTAAAAAGGCTTAATCAGATATTAAGGCTTTTTTAAATTCAACCCTCGAAAGCAAGGTGGTAATGCTACCAGTACGCAGCAGGTTACAGGGAGTGAAAGTGAAAGAAAAGACTGATAATTGGGAGTGTTGGGGAAAGGACTAAAAAAGGAATAGAGTTCAAGAAGACAGAATATGGCGATTGACGTTTCATTTAAATTTTTGAAGATTGTGGTTATCCGGGAAGCGAGGAAACGGAAGAAAGTTCCACAGGTCAGAGGTTTGAGAAAAGAAAGTGTTAGAGTATAAGTAGTAGTTTCATTCATCTAGTTCGAGAGTAAAAATGGTGAGACCTAGTTGCCAATCTAGTAGCACGTTTAAATTCACGTCGTCTTCAAAAAATTTTTGGTTCTATTTTATGTTAATCTGATCCTATCATAAACTGATCATACATTTTTTAGATCTGTTATTCTACTTTACGGCTTTGTTAGTGACACTAAAATAAGAAAATGCAATTATGATTATGATGATATCAGAGAGATCAATACAAAGGCAGAAGGACGTGCACCTATATTTGATAGATTGCGCAAAAAGCATTTGACAAGGTACATCACAAGGATCTGTTTGAACTACGAAGAAAACTACATCTATTTGGAAAGGATTTTAGAAGAATCCAGAAGTTGGAGCGGGGGAACCGCCCGCATGCGGTTAGAAAATAAATTGAATAGAAAGACACAGAGGAAAAGCATGTGTCTTCTCCCCGTAATTATTCAACTTCTGCAGTGAGGCTATTCCGGGAGAGCTGGAGACCCTACCAGGATTTATTATCGGTGGGCGTAATTTTATATAAGATATTAGTGTTGATGGCTCCCACGGAAAGAAAACTACAGGACCTCCGAGACAGGGTAGTAAATGAAAGCGATAAAAAGGACTGACCAGCAACTGCAAGAAGGCAGGAAATATGGCCATTAGCAAGCGGAAAAGCCCAAGATGAGAGTTACGAATTGTTGATGTCACCATCCATCAAATAGAGAAGTTTAGATATTTGGGATGCGTTTAAACAGAGGATGGAAAATGCGACACCGAGATCCGAACACGCGTTGGACAAGCGAAAGATCTATTTAAAAATCTAAGCAAAGTGCTGGGAAACAGAAAAAAAAAACTTTGTTAGGAACAAAGAAAAGAATGTTGGCTGGCTGTGTGATATCCATCCTCTTATATGGCATTGAGCATTGCACAATCATTCCAGGAATGATGGGAAACCTTATTTTAGGGTCATCGGTTATCTAATATAGCAAGATAGACTAGACTCCATAGCTATGTATGTAGCCATTGCAGTCATGAAATAGCAAGGCTGGGCGAAGGTTTTCCCAAAACTGAAGTCAATGTCCAGGGCAGATTGTTATAAAAAAATGGAATCAACGGTTACTTGTCCTTGATCAAAGTGAGTCTTTAAGTTGGAGGACATCAGTGGTTTTACCTGGAGAAGGATGGGCTTCGCCAGGTGTACTTTTTCAAGACACGCTACGCATTCATGAATACATTTATGGTTTTCCATCCAGATATGTGAAGGAAATTGGTCAGGTGCCCATTTGCACATCGACCCTACGACCCTATCCGGTAATGGGACTAATGGTGGTGATGATGATGTTTTCATTTCTACCTGAACATTACAATCTTGACCTATTTAAAGCCTCATCCTTATAAGCTTCCTTTTCTTCTACCTATTCATTCTGTCATATCACACCTCAGTAACACTCTGTCTTGAGGGGCCCTCAAGTCTTGTATTAGGTGAAGATCAAAATTAAAATTCTCATAATCACCTAACTCTAAGTCTTAACCATAAGTCTAATCTTACCATACTCCTTATCACCACTGCTTTTAACAACAAAAGGAGTAGCATGAACAGGTGCCTTATTCAATAATCTGCTGCCATGTCCGGCTCTTTTGCCTCGTACTGAGTGAACTTTAATAAAAAAAAAAAAATAAAAAAAAATATAAGTGTTATAAACTATTACGTCAAAATTTTGGTTGAATCAATTCTTCTCGACACATCAAATGTTATGCCTTGGAACAATGAGTCTTAAAAGCTTTTTTTAAAATATCAAAAAAAGTCCTTTCCATCAAAGGCTCACAAGACTGACAATGCGTTCATTTTTTTATAGATACAAGTATTTAAGTAAATGCTCTGTTTATAATAAAAAAAGAACGTTAAACATAAAAATGTCTTTAATAAATAAATTGTCGGACTTTGTCCATTTCTTAATATATGACGTCATTTGTTTACATTTGATACGCCAGAGCAGTTATGAATGTACGAGATTCATGGAAGATTGAAGTTTATAAGCAGTAAATTCGACATTGCCTACCGAACGCTCCTTTGTGGCCGAGAGGTTAGGCACGTCAGCGTAAATGACGGTTCCGTATGGGATACAGGTTCGAATCCTGTCAAAGGACGAATATTTTCTATGAAAATTTCTCGGAAATGTTATTTAATACTGTTTATTATAAACAGAGCATTTACTTAAATACTTGTATCTATAAAAAAAGAACGTTAAACATAAAAATGTTTTTAATAAATAAATTGTCGGACTTTGTCCATTTCTTAATATATATATATATATAAGGTTACACACTTAGAGAAACACGCACGCACACATGTATATATATACAAATATATATTTATATGTGTAAGGGTTGTCGGAGTTAACTCCTCCTTTCACTCCGTTAACCCTTTCACCAGGGGTCTCTCTTTCCTGGCTATAAATAGCCAATGACCCTTCGCCTCTATCTCTCTTTTTTCCTTTCAGGCCTGTGCACCAACACCTCGAGGTAAATTTCTCTTATTCCTAGAGGATTTCAACTATCAACCTCGAAATGTAGTCGCTAACAAGGAATAGCGTGGAAACACGCTAAAGCACAATACACACGCACGCACATACAGAATATTCACACACACTTCGTCCTTTGTACTGTTTCCATGTATTGTAACTTGTTATTAATATATATTTGTATATACATAATTTATCGGTCTTGTTTTGTTTGCTTTCTTTACCTTCTTCTTTGGACTTAATCAAAGTCCAACCTTTTTATGTAGTTGGGCTCGGCGGGCAGGAGTATCTGAACCTTGCATTTCTTCTACGTCTGACTTCTATCAACAACATAACAGCCACGCCATGAATCCTCAACAAACCGTAACCGCCACGGCCCACTACAAATGGTGACCTGGTCGTGATTTTTCCGCTCCTGCTAAAAAACACACAAGACGATATATATGTACAAAAACAAACAATTTCTTATATACACACCTTCACAAAAAAGCCAGATAAAAAAAAAAACATTGAAAACGCACGCCGTACACTAAAATAACAATTACTACTATTCAAGGCGAACCTGAACTCTTCCCCCACTGGTCTATATTTGCTTGACCCTTTCTTTCTCTCGGCGACGTTTGACCTAATTTCGCCCAGCACACATGCTTAAGGCTGTATCGAACGAAAAACAACGCCATTTTTCTACCAACCAACACTATCCTCTTCTGGACTGAAACAGATAAAGTGGAAACCCAAACCACTAAAGGCAAAACCACTGTCCTTTACTCTCAACAACATTGGTGATTCCGACATGGAAGCAACACTCATATTTCATTGGAATGATTCTACAACTTTCTCTGGACGACTCACTGTTC